AAAATATAAATTTAATAAATTTATTAATAAATTTTAGAGTAATTCAAGTTCTCAACAAACTATTACCAATATGTTACGAAGTGTTGTCCCCTATAAAGGAACCAAAAAGCTTAGCATTTGTCGCACTATTGCAGAATGGCTTATAATTGATAATCAACCATTTGAAGTTATTAGTGGGGAAAGATTCCGTAGATTTATGCTGCAAATTGATCCTGCTTTTCGTTGCCCCTCTTATAAGGCATTAAAAAAAGAGATTTCCTTGGCAAATATAAATGCAAAAAAACAAATAAATGATCTTTTAGAAAAAAGTAGTGAAACAATTTCTCTAACCACTGACCTTTGGACAGCAAGAAATAAAACTGGATACATTGGAATAACTGCTCATTGGTTAAGTAATAAGTTTGAATTAAATGAAATCTTATTTTGTTTAAAGACAATGCTATACCCTCACACTGGTGATGCTATTAGAGAATTTCTTATGTGTAAAGTTCAAGAATTTAATTTACAAAATAAAATTTTTTGTGTTGTTACTGACAATGGTAGTAACATGATAGCGGCTATAAGAGATTAGAATGGTGTAGAAAGATTACTATGTACAGCATATACCTTACAACTATCAGTAAACTGTGTATTTAGAAAAAAGCATGAACAAATTTCCTGTATTCAAAGTTTGGTTAAATTTTTTGACTCTCCTAAACAAAGTCAGAGATTAGATACTGCCCAAATTGAAGTAAGTAAAAAAAAAACAAAAGAAATATTTGATAATTCGTCTGATAAATCTAAGGATCATAGTAATTCAGAAGATGAGCATAATGAAACAACAAATAACAATAAGGCCAATATTAATAAGTTTACACCTATACTATGAAATATTAAAGATATTCCAACTCATTGGAATTCCAAATTTCAATCATAGAAAAGGTTACTTGAGCTATGCTCTGCAATCAGATGGCTTTTAGCAACTTTGACTCTTCAAGGTGAGAATGCACAAAAAGATAATATAAAATTACAAAAATTGATGCTACAAAAGAATGAATAGGAACTCGTTCAAAGGTTAGTTGAGATGTTAGAACCTT